AAGGATCTCCGTGTCCCTAATTTAGTTATGTCCATCCCGAGTTACCTGTTAGATGGTCTAAAGTTTGTTCCACTTAGCACCACAAAGTGCACGCTAAACCCAATTTTATTGCATTCACCTGTGTGACAGTCTGTGGTTAGCAGCAGCCGCGATGTCACACGTTGCTTTGTGGTTTTTGTTCAAAATATCTCTGTAATTGGAAAGTTGTGGCCAGGTGATGGACTAGCTGTGACGTGCGGTTTTATATATTATAGAAATAATGAGGATTTGGGGTTCATTATTATATTAAATGAATGTATAGCCAGGAATAATTTGATAAATTACAATGGATTCGGAATGTTGAAAACAAAATATGAGTAATAATTTGATAAATTTAAAATTATTTAAAAATTAAAAATGGAAAAAGGAAAAAAAATTTTTGGGGGGAAAACCCGCCACCTTATAAATTTTTTGCCGAGGTAATATCCATAATTTTTATAAATTTTGGATATATACTCGAGCAATAACGCGCGGTACCTACATCAGCTTCAATCGGCTTGCAGATGATTTGTATAGTCCAATGAAATCTAACTCCGATTAAAAAGAACGGAAACCCATATTCCTAAACAGTAAAAAATTTTTTAAATATCTTAAATATACAACAATAAACTTGCCCTCAAATATTTCAGCGTCACTTTCATTACTAAACAATTTCATTTTTTCTTATTTTAATAAAAAAGCAACGCAAGAAATATTTAGAACTATTAACGCCTGTAAACCATTTCGTAATCTTTCGGAAATCCGTCAAAATCGCCGGTTGCCAAATCTGTAACAGTTTGTCGCCATTGTAAACAATAGTTATCAGTCAAAGTGTTATTGAAACCCTAAATTCTATTTTGTATGCAGTAACCTATCAATGCTAAGAAGTTGCCCTCTCAACAGTTAGTTGCTACCAATTGTTGAAATGTCAATCTATCTGTGAATATTGAAACGCAAAACTCCAAGAATTTTAATTGTCAGTGACGATTGTCACTTGTAGTTAAATGTTAGTTGAATATTGGGACCGGCCATAAAACAAGTTAGTAATACATACAAGCTAGATCACGTAGCGACAAAAGAAAACAACGCCCTCGCCTGAAAAATTTCTATTAACAAATTTATTATTATTAACACTTTATAGAAAAAACATCGTAAGATACGCGTATGTTCGATCCTTCGAGCCGGACGGCGCACACCGTTAAGTTCTTTTATGGCCACTAGGTTCTTTAAGATACCCTATAAAAATATTTACTGATGTATAAAAAAGATTTTTTAGAGCTTTTTATAGATTGCCAACCCTTTGTTATATAGACTTTTTTACGTGACGAACCTGATTTGAAAGGTAAGGAACTGTTGTGTTGATATATGCAATATTAATATTAATAAGATGTATAATTTTACCTATAACAGGTTTTTATATTTAATTAATTAAAATGGAAAGTCTCAGAAAGTACTGTGAGATACAAAACAATAGGTGTAGTTTATAAGGTATTTGACCAACAATCTACCGAAATTTTATCCACCTATTTTTTACGCCATAAGAGAATTCTGAAGGAAGAGAAAGGGTTCACTTGATGGAAGGTTAAATACCATGGCTTTACTCAAACAGATGTGCTATCGACGCATAGAAATGCTTCGGAAATTCAAGAACTCACTGGCTGAAACACGAAACACGATAACACCTCTCGATTGACTGTGGGTTAAAATATGTTTTTTTTATTTCTACCTTCCATTTAATATTACCATTGTGTCCTTTGTCTTTTGCAATACACTTCTATTAATCTACATTCTATTCGTCTTAAAGTATATAGTGTTTCTATTTTGGTACGGAAGAGAAACCTTCGATAAACTTTATCTTAGACATATGAAACGTGATATTTATGTAGTCGATGCCAACAAGCGTTCTGTGTCCTTACATCGATGTGTGACCGCAGGCCACAATAATCTATGTTATGTAAGATAAGTAATACACAAGGTTCTAAAAATAGTTTTTACACCTTATACTAGAACGTTAAGGAATAAAAATGTTGTCAATCTTCAAGTTAGCGACTATCGGAAATTGTATCATTGAACGGTTTAAATCCCACTGTGTTCGGCGAACTGATATACGTAACATGATTCAAGAGCATGTTTGTTGTTAGAAATAAAATCTTTCGATTACGTTTTGTATTAAACGTGGTTAATTATGAAAAGGTCTAAGCATTTAACGGTTTATCACTCAAGTCTTATTCTCTCAAGCTAAACTTGTAGGTGCACATTATTCGATAAAATTAAAGATTTGATATAACGCTATAACTTAGTTATTTTCGAAAGAAAATGTTAATATTTCCTAGTTCCTACATTTTTAACTCAATAGAGAAGGAATTTTATTAAATACCAATCGTTCATTTCTTGTTATATTGGAAATTCAATATTTCCTCGTTTAACATTACAATATTAACAGGCATTGGAAATATTTTAATAATATCTACTTTGCCTTTTAATATGGTAACGGCCATAAATATTTATAATTTAAATATGGAACAATGCTTAATGAAATTATTTAAATCTCTCTAAAGAGTTTTACTATTTAAATGTTAGTATACTCTCTGGAAAGTTATAGGGTATTGTATTGGACTAACGTATCTTTATATATTTAAAAAAATATATTATAGTTCTTCTCTACAAACGTATTAATCGTTTTTGTCACTTTAGCTAAACTTCCAAAATCTCGATTTTTTAAGGTTTATAAAAAATTGACTATACTTTAAAGGTATAGTTTCATACCAGTCACCTTTAAAATATAGCTGGAGCAATTTCATAAAAGTACAAATGCAGTGTAGCGTACACTTTCATTAAAATACACTTTATTAAAATCTATTATAATTTAATGATTTTCCGCACATACCCAAGAGGAAGAGGAAGAGGAAGAACAAGAGTCAGAAATATCTTATACTGTATGCAATGTCGACTATATTATTTCCTCAGTTAGGTAAAAAGTTATTAATCTTTAGTAACTGGCAGTAATTAATTAAATTACACGTTTACAGGTATGGCGTGACAAATGAGTGGGAAAAAGTGAAAAATGTTCTTGAATGTACAACATTAATCATACATGTTACTTGTTCAGATATAATACTATTAGCAACGTGTGTAGGCATAACTAGTAAGACATTAAACCTGTCTATAGTTTACGCGAGTAGTACACATACTAACACACTAATAATATTGAAAGATTAACGCCCCCCGCGCTGCGGGTGCTTTGCAGCCGCCGTGGTCACGGGGAGACCCGTTTTATTTAAACGTTAAGACATTTTGTACTATATTATAAAAAGGCAAAAGTTGTCGTGAAGATAGAAAGGGATTTTTTTCCCAAATGTGTTTTCGTTAATAAAAAAAATAAGTGAAATTAATTTTTTTGCAGTGTGTTTATATTTTTTTATATAATGATAACTTGATCTTAGCCTGACTTTATGATACTACGATATCGTTTTACGAAGATGCATCGATCTATCGATATCGATAGAAAATGATAACTCCATCGCATATTGTTTCATACCTCTCCCCTTCATTAGTATATCCCTGTTAAGTTTGCATGTTCAGATCCTTATGGGTCTTCAAGATTGATTACGGTTTATATTGTGACGGAATAAGGGTCTTGGATGGGGCTTAATGTAGAATAATTATAATAGGTATTGCTTCATTACGGATCTTACGTTATAACGGATCGTACATGTAGGTAGTACAGTAATTATCATTTCTACACATCTCGCTGTACATAGGTATGCAAAAACTCGATATAGTTTTAGTTTTTTTTTTTATTTATATGAAGAAGTAATTTATAAAATTAATGATTACTATAATCTGCCTTCAAAACCAATAAATATGTAATTACCTGTATACTTATTGTCTGTAGTTTACGAAATAGTACAGATTTAAATAATTCTGTTATCAGTTTGAAATGTAAGATAATTAAGCGACTTTTTAGCGGGGATGAGGGGTATTTCATGAAACAGTAAATAAGTTTTATTTTATTTTATATATTATTTACAAGGAAACTAATTCATAACAATGTATATATGAAACTCACATATATCTACCACTTCCAAACTGTCACAAATATGTCTAATTTTACATTATTTAAAATACGGTCATTGAAACTGTATTTCAAAACCACATTCTGGGTTTTAAGCTAATTTCCTGGGATAATATCCCCTGAAAATGTAATGACACCTCCAATATTTTATTTCAAAACACCTGGCGAGACTGTAATCAGTCCTCGGTACAACTTTTGTTGAATTATGAAAACACATTCAAGTGAAACTCGCCTAAATTATTCACGTTCTATCCCGCACAAAGCATTTCCCTTTCAATTAAAGGAATAAGCCGCCATATTGCATCATTATATTCACGCCTTTCATAATATTATCCTCGTAGTCGTTACAGAGAAATATGACCAGCCAGGGAGGGCTCTCGAAATTCTTGTGAATTATTTTTTCGAAATAACTCTAACAAAACGTTTAATTTGGTCGTTCTTCAGCTCAGTGGGGAGATAATTATCCTCTAAATTATTTAGTTGAATATTCTACTATCTCTATACAAAATGCAATCAAAATGTTTGTTTAATTAGAAGAGTCGAGAGGGCAGGAAAATTTTGACATTTGTCAAATTATAAATGACGCAGGTCGGGACTTGGCGTTATCTGTGCAATTAGGCATATGTTCTAATATTCAAATTTAGAAGCATAGATTATTATATTTGATATGATACGAAATACAGATAACCAGAAGATTTTTATCATTTGCAATATTTACAGTAGGACTACAAGAAGTGTAGAAAAAAACAATAAAAATCCCCTATTTTCTTAATGAATATACAAATTGTTAAGTAATCGTTTTAAATAAGTATTATATGTTATGGTTAATGATATTCGAAGTACATACAGATGTATTTTATGATTTTTAACAAAACGAGACTTAAAATCAGTAATTTAAAAAACTTACCATTCTTATGTCCATAATAACCAGCACCTGAAGATGCTCCACTCCCCGTAGAGGAAGCCTGCTGAGGCCTGCCTTCGTCGTCTACCTCCAAGGGCAGTGGGTTCGACTCCATTCTTACACAATCATCACTGCACTATACACTTCATTATACGATTACTTACAACGTAGGTAATTTAATCTGAAACAAAAAATAGCAGGTCTTTTAGGATCATCATATATATGACTAGTTAAATAATAATTGTGCCAGAGTCTACCGCGGGTTTGAGTCAGCGCGGTATCATAATCGATTTGCCTTTAAATGTTTAATTTATTACTTGTTCTACAGGCTAAATAATAATTGTATATAAAAAATGAAAATTAGAGCAAGAGCATTTTTTCATTTTATTTATTTTTTTTGAATTTCAAATCCATTTTTAATTCATCTAATGCCACCAGGTGCAATAAAAAATATACTATGTAAGCATAAAGTAGATATTCATTAATTTAACGCTATCAAACTCAAGCACAATCATTAAATAGATTTTCTAATTGATCATTTAATAATTATAATATATTAATAATAAAATTTGTAACCACTGAGGTTACTTCATTGAAGACTTATTTGAATACAGACTTGCAAAAAATACATTTTGGAAACTTCAAAAATATTTATTTTTTCATAATACAGTAAAAACCAAGTGTAGTATTTATTCTCAACTAAGGTACATAAAAACTTCTTTTTATATTTCTCCACTGCGAACCATTTGCCTTTTTCATAGCATTTAATGCTAGCGAAGCACAAAGCTAAGAAGGTACAGCATTTACAAAAGTGCATACGGAAAGGTGTTTTGCGAGAATTTCATAAGTCTCCGAATTTCAAATAAACCTTCACATGGAGTTCCATGTGGCTCTTTGTACATAATTCAGTTGGAAGGCATTAGCTGGCAGCTGAAGCGAACAAAACACTTAGCTGTGCGGTGGCAATACATTGCACTACACTACCGGGCATGAATGGGATATTCGAAATTATTTTCCTGTATTATGAACTTGGTGTAAGAATATTAGAACTTTTATAAGAAACGCAACGTTTCTCTTATTTTAGGGCTTTTTAATAAATAGTTCATAAATAGATAATATTAATCGATTGTTTATTCATAAATATACGGATGGCGTTGTATTACTTTAATTTTTGGTGATGTTATAAAATATCTAAGCCAAAGTAAAACAATATTTTTTTCAAAGTATTGTTCAGTCGTGATTTTATTGGCTTATACTTTTATTATTCATAAAGTTGTATCTTTGTAAGATCTAAATTTAATCTTAACTTTTTACTGTTTAGTGTGTTAACGTTTTTTGTTGTATACTGTACATAGTTTTTTGTTGTGTTAGTATTTGATATCATTGTAATTTTATTGCATTTTCTCTCTCATTCTTGTTGGCTTTTGTTCATTTATTGTTATTTTGTTTTCCTTTTCTTTATACAAAGGTTGCCTGGAAGAAATCGCCAAAGGCGATAAGGCCGCCTTTGCACTAACTCTTCAATGTAATTAATTAATTTATTATTTCCATATATGAGTGACTGTCCAAAAAATAGGTCGATAAGGCATCTTGTTGTTTTATGGCTGGGGTACTTTACTTTCTCCTAAGTGAACTCGATACTTATCTGTCCTTCTCTTCAGAAAACAGCTAAATACATCCAATGATCATTGGTAACGCTATGTTGCAAGTATCATTTATAGTTGACAATTTAATCTGGGCTATAAGTATAATCGGCTTGTGAAACAGAATAAGAAATATGTCTACCCTATGTTGGAGACACTGTATTTAACACAAGAACCTTCACGAGGAGAACACATAAAAAAAAACTACTTAAACGGTTTAAAACGCGAAATATAAAAGCATTTGCAGCAACCAAAACGTCGAGACGTAGTCAACCTATTTTTTTAAATAAATTTAACTAATTCAACGAACTTAACTATACAAACGTGTATGGCTTTAAATTGTGATAATTCCTTTACATAGTTTCTCTCTGTCTTTAAGTGTACATAATATGGTTGGCTTAAGTACTCCTTATAATAGGGGTGTGAACTTAGAGCTGTCATCGCCATTTATATAAAGGATGATAAATCGTTTCTAAATTGTTTATATGTAGTAGATAGATAAGTAAGATAAAACTGCGATATCACTTGACGATGAGCCATAGAGAAGTTAGCAAAGAAAGTTATTGAATGTTCACTTTTATAGGGCCAAAACGTGAAATTTTGTTAATAAAGTAACAATACAATTATTAAGAACTAACACATTAATCGCTGTTATTAAAAAAAACTAATTATTATTATTATACGAAAAATATAGTCGGTGTTAAAGATAGAGTATGTTATTAAAAGTATTCTTCCCCTTTTGCGCAAAAATAGACGCATTTCTAGATTTATCGGATAGACGTAAACGTATTTATTACTTTTTCACGAGATAAGAACCCAGCATCTCCTTCAACGCAATGCGTCTTAAACCTTAAATCACGAGGGCTTGACGCAACTACCGCAATAAAACGTCATTATAAAAACAATAATGTTTTATTGAAATCGTGATAATTTCAACATTTATTTCATTTCCTCACTAATTATGTTCACGAAATGAAATTGTTAATGGTGAAACTATTCTGTTATTCATATTTTGATACAAATATTAGGAAACACGATATTTACTTTGATACCGTGCTATCGAAATAATTAGAGCAAATTATACATGAAAATTAATTACTGATCACCAAACTATTTTACTAATTCAAATTTAGATATTTATTTACGTAATAAATTACTGTAATGCATTGCTTTTTAATCGTGTTCAGAAAACATATTCATAAATAATTTAAAAATCCATGCGCTTGCGTTTGGGTTGCCCTGTCTGACAGAATTGATATTGTTATTAATATAAGAGGACCTATTTAATATAGACCTATTTATTATTAAGCAGTAATAACGCATTACTACAGACATGGTAACTACCAGATATGAAATTAGTAATTTTTGATGTCGGTTAAAAATTGCCTAATATTTGACATTATACTTTGTAAAGCATTTTGCAACAGATAATATTTAAGTTTAATGCACAGATAGATCAGGACAAAATAATCCACAGATAAAAAAGGGAAGACGGACAGAACCATCAACTAAAAATAATTTAAATTAAGTATTACATTACAGAGTAGGCAAACTTGTTTTAAAATAAAGGTTTTTGTTCATATACCCGCCATTTTGTTGTAAGTTAAATTACACGTAATGGGTACTGGTAGCTAATTGAAATTTAGAATCTTTTGTTACCAACTAACCTAACATTTATATGTGAACCTAGCTCTACGTGTTAACAATGAGTTTTGAGAAGTAGCCATAGTTTTTTTCTATTGAACAATATGTCTAAATCAAATCAAAATCAAAAATCATATATTCACTTATGAACGTCAAAGCAGTTAAAAGTTCGAAACTCTAAATTTACAGCTACTACCAGGTTCCTAATACGAGAAGAACTGACAAGACACTTTTATTATTTAGATAAACTTCCTTAATAGATATTATTTGTTGTCCTACAAATTTTCTCATTTCTAACACTAAAGAATCATATAGATTTTTTCATATACATAGATATTTCCAGGTACACCCCGTACACGAAATCAAGCTATTCGCGGTGTAACATGTGGGTGACCTGTTCATTGTTCATTCATAAAATGGCGCGCGTCGTGCCAAATTGCTGGTTGAATTAATGACTCGTTGATTCTTTCGCTTCGTGAGCTCCGGTTGTTGGAGATATCGAAGATTTCTCCGCAAGTAACGTAGGCGGGAGTTATACACCTACGCATAAAACATGTCCTAAAATAATTTTCGTAATACCACACTTTTTTGTTTCGAAGAGATTTTCATATCGACCTTTTTGTGCGTAAAAAAGTTAAGCGATTTGCGAGATATTTTTAGTACTAATGTTGTATTGTTTTATTATCAACACATAACAAGATCCTTTATGCCAAATGAAAGATAATTTGTTCAACAGTCCTTTTATTATAAACGAACAAATCTATGACAGTGAGAAAAAGACAATAACCAATAAAGAAACACAATACGTTAGATAATCTAAGTATAAACTCGATAAGAATTGAAATATCTTTGAGAAATTAAGTTTACACTTAGAGAAACAGGAGACCATTCAGCCGAAACTCTATCACCGATTTTCGGGATTCGCAGACTATAATACCTTATCGATATAGAAGGTTCGGTTGGCGTATTATAACAATATCCCGAGAGATTATTTGCTAGCGCCTTAGTTGCTCTAAACTATAGCCCAGTTCAGTATGAATAGTTAAATTTACTTTTAATACAATTTAAACAATTAGTTTTATATCGTTTGGGTGCGCGCATGGATATGCATTTTAGTTTTGTAATTTTGTGTAATGTGAATTTTTTTATATACTTTGTGATAGATTATCATATAACTATGTAGGATTGTGTTAAAAATCATTTGAATTTGTGTCTGCATTTGATTAATTTTGGTTAATATTAAATATTATATATTGAGAAACGCATCGACATTATAATTTAAAAGTCTACTTTGATTTACAGCTACACGTGAATGTAATTACAGTGTAACACACTTAAGTATTTCTTAGATATTTCCATTCACAAATACTTAGAAATAATAACTGCGTCTCACGCTCACTCAGCCAATAATAATGTAACATTATGTAGTCACGAAATTTGAAAATCAGGCCCCAGCGTTGCCAAAACTATAGTAATAAGGGCTCGCGCTGTATTACGAGAGAAAATAATCGTACGTTCCTTTGTTTAGGCCGTCCATCGTCGTGCGTTTTTTTTTTGCGACGGTAATAAATTATTTATTTAGCACTCACAACAAATTACATTACCAAATAAAAAAAGAGAGCCTGGTGCAGGTGTCTGTTTAATAACCTGAGATCTAAGTAACAAGCTCACTTCAACGAAGGCTCAATATAATATAGTTTGTACGTATTTGACACTTCCTTGGTAAGAACTAAACAATATAAATACTAGAACAAAAAGTTAAAATGCCTTGGATTATGTGTGCATGTGTGAATGGGTGTAATATTTGAGTCAGTTAAAGACTTTTTTA